CGCACACGCACACAGGACATGCTGTAGTTATATCAACCAGAAGTTGCTTAAATACATAATTATGAGTCATAATTTGCACTCCTTTCCATGAACTAGTGTTATCAAATCAAAGAGGATGCAGTTAATGGGGAATGTAGCATGAGTGTTAAAGAAATGAGATGCATGCAGGATTTGAATGAGAAACATGGAGGAAAGAAATCACAGACCACTTGGAAGAGGTAGGCATAGAGGGAGTTAATATTAAGATGAACCATAAAGAAATGGGAGGGGTTGTAGCGCCAGACTGCTATGAACATCGTATTGAATCTTCAGGTTCCATGAAATGTGGGGAATTTCTTGAGTAGCTGAGCAACTGTTAGCTTTTGAAGAAGGACTCTGCTCTTTGTAGTTGAAGATGCTTTCATTCAAAGATATGTATTTATGTTTCATATTGAGTTATATTCAGATATGCAAAAAATTCTTCCGTACACCATTAAATTGATATTGTTCCATGTTACAGTGACTCCCAGTGGGGTTTTGGATTGGATATTGGATTTATTGACCACTTATGAATTGTAGCTACAAGTAACTGTAACAGTCTCATGAAATTACTCACTCCAAATATCACTGTAACTACAGCACACATTAAGTCTTCTCAGTCTTCACTAGTTGTTTTCTGGCAACAGATTTTAACAGCGGAGTTTATTGAGCTTCTGTGCTGACTGCACTAAGTCTTCACATCTCAGACTCATTCACAGTTTCCTCAGTGCTTCAACTAACTGGGTTCCAGGTTGGCAGTCATTTCACACCAAGCTCCTAGCCTTCTCTTCACAACCTCACATTCACCTGACTGTAGTTCGGCTGTTCCTCATTACATAACCCCTTTGCATGGATCAAGTAGAAAACACCGTTTCCACAGTCCAGTATTATTGTGTGTGTATTTGTTGCCATGGGAACCTGTTTGTTTGTGGTTGTTACCTAGTAACAGGTCTGCACACTACAGTATCATTGAAATGATGGAAGGCTTTTAATCTTTATTGCTTTTATATCACTGTTGTTAAGGCATATTCACCCTCTCCGACTGGACAAACATTGCATTTTGAATACTAGTACAATTACCCGCCAAGTTCAGATCTGCCAGTCTCATATTTCTGGGGGGTTTAAAGTCATGTTTCCCAGACAGTGAAGATTGAAGTTGTAAGTTTTGAGGTTTTCACGGCGATGACAATGAAGAAAGTTGTCTTCTGGGTTTAGGCACCGTGTATTCTTCGTTTTGGCCGACGTTTCGGAGGAACGTAGCGCCTCCATCTTCAGAGCAGTTGAATAGCGGCGNCCCTTAGTCACACACCATATATGGCCTTAATCGCTCTCCACTGCTCCCATTGGTCCGTTCTCCCTAACCACCCCCCCTGCCTACTTCGTATATAAGCAGCACCTTCCACATCCTATCACCACAGCTACTGCTCTCCGCAGCTATTCAACTGCTCTGAAGATGGAGGCGCTACGTTCCTCCGAAACGTCGGCCAAAACGAAGAATACACGGTGCCTAAACCCAGAAGACAACTTTCTTCAAGATTGAAGTTGTTCACTTTTAAGTTAAAGGTCTGAAAGCGGCCTCCGTAGTCTAGAGGTACCGTTCCCACCTCATGACTCGTAGTACACGGGTTCAAATACCCGGCGGAGGTCGTCGAATTTTTAAGGGCGGAAAAATTCAGGGAACAAGTCCTCTGGGAGGGACTTTAAGCTGTGGGTCCCGTGTCGTAGCTTTATGGCACGTAAAAGAACCTCATACCTCCAGAGGAGGTCACTGAGCCAAAATTGCGTATGTTTCCCGCCCAACAGCAGTCACTAATACCTCCGGTAGATGGGGGAAGCATTATAGATGACTCTCAGCCAGCAGAGCCGGTCTCGCTGGCTGGGCAGGACTGATGGTAAGCACCAATACCGGTAGGATATAGAGACTGGTGGAAATCATAGAGGGAAGCACAATGGACCACTACAGGTCTAAGTGCATGGGGAAACGCACCCTCTATAATAACTAACTAACTAAAGGTCTGAATCCCCAGATTTGTATATACACTTGGTCGTCGACTTATGACCAACTTCCGTTCTGACTGACAGGTCATAAGTCAATCTGGTCGTATGTCGGCCATATATTTATTAACAGTATTTTTTAACCTTAAAAACTTTTACATTTTAATCATCTTTTATTTTTTATTTTTTTGTGGTCGTAAGTGCTGCCATTCATAAGTTGTACAGGTCGTAAGTCGATGACCAAGTGTACTGGCACTGTTCAGTCGTGACTGAAATTTTTACTTCATGTGTCAGGTACCTGTTCCGGTCATTAAAGTCTACGAAGTTCTTTCAGACAACCACACTCGACTGGGTTGAGGCTGGGCTACAGGTGTGTCGTCAAGGTTATAACATGCTGAATCTGCTGATACACAATAGGGGTCTGCACTACCTGCATCTAGACTACAATTTCAACTTGAAACCTGTTAAGACTCTCACAGCAAAGGAGAGAGAGGAGTCTCGTTTTGGAAATGGTATGTATTTGTTATTGTTTTGTATTTTAAATTGTACCATGACTGGTTCCTTTCCAATTCATTATTTATTAATCATCCCTCTGACACTGGGTAGTCTGAGCTATTGATAGCATCATTATATAGACCATAAATAAATGAACCAAATTATATGTTGTATTATACAGATGTATGTCTACTGTATATAAAAATGCAAATTCTGTGTTGCTGCTTCTCTGTATCATACTTTCTACCACAGACCTATTGGAGAACACCCAAAAATAATATTAAATTTACTCTGTACTATTGCCAGTATGTGCATTAGCTATAGCTGTTAAAGCATTGCAGAAGAGTATTTAGAGAGGTTAAAATCCTTGCTCGCTATATCCTTTTCTAAATGGTGGGTATAGTGTGTTTCTTAGTTTGACTGTTATTTCTGTAAAATTTCAGCTACTATATATATTGTGATACCGACAAGGAAAGAAACTGTGTTCAGGGCAAAGAACGAATATTTGTGCTTGTACATGTATAATATGCAGTAAAATCTCTCTTTAAGGTTTGAACAGTAACCTAAGGAAAATTTGAAATCAAAATTTAACACTAAAATTAATGATTTGAGGTCACTGAAATTGAATGTTAGATGAATGAAGATGTTAGTAAAGGAACATTAAATGGTGGGGAGGGGGGTTCCCTCTGTATCTGTTTTTTGAAAAAAGTTAAGAACAGATGTGAAACAATCTCTGCATTGTGTATTGCAGTAAGTGATTTTTTTATTTTCAGATATCCATCTGTGTCGTGAGATCCTGCGTTTGACGAAGTTGATTGTTGATTCACATGTGCAGTACCGCTTGAACAATGTGGATGCATTCCAGCTGTCAGATGGTATTCAGTACATCTTTGCACATGTGGGGCAACTCACAGGAATGTATCGCTACAAGCACAAAGTGATGAGGCAGATACGGATGTGCAAAGATCTTAAGCACCTAATCTACTATCGCTTCAATACTGTGAGTCACTAGTTAATACTTTTGTCTAGTCTGAATGTGAATCTGTTCTTGGTTAGATGCTTTGACCAGGAGAGGTGAAGTCCCACCCCATTTGTTTGCAGCATTGTTTGTAGCATTGTTGTACAGTAGCGAACTCACATATAGTATCTCATAGTATCTCATAATGGTATGTGAACTGGTTTCCTGTATAAGAAGGCTGTGTAATAGATCAGGTGGTTAGTTTTTAGCTTCTCACTATATGGTTCTGAATTTAGTCCTGGGGTCTGTGTGGGATACATAGTGGTCAGATGACATTGGGCCAGTTTTTCTCTAGGCACTTTGATTTCAATTAATATGTTGTTGGACATTATCCATCATCTTGTCTATTCTTAAAAAAAACTGTCCTGTTTCTCTTAAAAACACAACATTTCTGGAACTGGATTCTGTCCCTGTCTTCAGGTAAAACCTACCCAGTTGAGTCCAATAGACAGAGCTAGCCCGTCTCCTATCTCTCTAGGTTTTACCTGCAGACGGGGACAGAACCCAGTCCCCGAAATGTTGTGTTTTTAAGAGAAACAGGACAGGTTTTTTTTAAGAATAGACAAGATGATGGATAATGTCCAACAATATATTAATTGTAACAATTTACCATCGTCACAAACTTCTAGAGCTTACTTTGATTTTCCTCTGCCAAGTAATATTCCACCAGTTGCACCCATGCTGATCTGTCATCAGGGTTTGTTGGAGAATGCAGTACCAAGGCACTTGGCCCAACATCACACACAACTGAATGGAAGAATTGTATGAAAAGTGACCTCCAGTATTTATGATATTTTCTACCCAGGGTCCAGTGGGGAAAGGCCCTGGATGTGGTTTCTGGGCTCCAGGATGGCGAGTTTGGCTCTTCTTCATGCGAGGAATCACCCCACTGCTGGAGCGATGCCTTGGCAGCGTTTTTTCTAGACACTCCAAAAGAGTTGCCAAGACTGTCACGGAACAGAGAGTAGAAAGTCACTTTGATCAGGAACTTCGAGCATCTGTGAGTTGCATCCTCTGAGTTTAATTTGTGATCTGTAGGTTAAATATTGAATTAATACTTTCAGTTAAGCGCAGTAGATCATTGAAGGTCGCAGTGCGAGGGCCGGTTTTTATGGCTCACCCCTCATACTCATACCCAATACTTTTAGTTAATAAATAGATACAATACTGTAAAGTAACTGAGTTGCATTGGAATTATATTGTTTTTAGGTGATGCGTGATATTGCAGACATGATGCCTGAAGGAATCACACAGAATGAAGCGAGAACCGCTCTTCAGCATATCTCAGAAGCTTGGCGATGCTGGAAAGCAAACATTCCACGGAAGGTCAGTTCAGTTTGTTGAAATTATTTTGTTATTTGGCCGTTTTTGAGGGGTGTTGTTTTGATATAAACTGCAATATTGAAAGCAATGATGAGTTGCATAGGGGTCCTGAAATCAGTCGTTCATGTGGACTTGACAGTGTCTTCAGTGCATGAGAAATTCTTGTCTGACATGAGATTGCCTACTGCGAGAGATTGGATCCACGCTATCTGAGCTAAGAGAATTTTCTCATCAGTGGTACAGGCATTTAAGCTTTCAACTGCGCATGGACATATTTCAAGAAAAGCTGTTTGGTATTATCAGGTTTTGTGTACTACAGTTAACTGGTCTTCCCACACCAATTGAGAACATGATTCTTCATTACCTGAAGATGAAGGGTGACTGGTGGACCAACATTGCTCACTATAACCGTGAGCATATCCATTGTGCAGCTACAGTTGAGAAGACAGCATGCAAGAAGAACTTAGATCAACTCACTCGACTGTATGTGAAGGGTGAACAGGAACGTCAGCATAACTTCTTGACGGTACATTAAGTTTTGAAATGTCCTTTTATATGCTTTTCACTGTTACAGTTTATTACAGCTCTTTCATTGAATTGATCTTGTTTTTGTTCTTTTATTTAAAATTCAAGCAGATCCAGATACAGATTGAGAAGTAGATTCACAAACCATTGGATATACGAGGGTAAGTCAATAAGTAAGCTACAGATGCATATAGAACTTAAACAAAAAAGAATACTGATCTGAAGAAATGCTTTTATTTCTCAACATAATCTCCTTGTACATTGAGGCACTTGTCCCATCATTTCACAATCTCCTGATAACCAGCAGCATAAAATTCTTTTGGTTACTGTCGGAACCAGTGGTGTTCACCTGGCATGGCCTACCTCATTATGCATGACGTTTTCACAAAGTCTATGCACGATGGGTGCTAAGCATGCTGACCCTACAACACAAAATGCAAAGAATGGGTCTTGCATTACAGCACCTCAGTCGCTACCACGATAAAGGTCACGATATGCTAGCCCGAAATGTCACAGGTGATGTGTCTTGGGTTCACCATTACCACCCCGGCACAATTCGTGGTCAGTGCAGTGGAAACATCCTGCGTCGCCTGCCAGAAAAAAGTTTTAAGGCGACATCATCCTCCAGGAAAGTGATGCTCACAGTCTTCTGGGATCATGAAGGCACACAGCTCACCGCATTCCAGCCTCAAGGACAAACCGTAAATGCCGACTCCTACTGTAACATCCTCAGGAAACTTCGTAAGGCCATTCAATGGAAGCGACCAGGACTCCTCACCAAAGGAATGTTGCTCTTGCATGACAACGCGCGTCCCCTTACTGCCAACAAGACAAATGAGACGCTGCGAAATTTCAGGTGGGAAGTCCTCAAGCACCCTCCATATAACCCTGACTTTGCTCCAAGCGACTTCCATTTGTTTGGACCTCTTAAACATCATCTTTCTCCTGAACATTTTCCTGGTGATGAACCTGTAGTAAGAGAAGTCACCGCCTGATTCCGACAGCAGCCCAAAGAATTTTATGCTGCTGGTTTTCAGGGGCTTGTGAAACGATGGGACAAGTGCCTCAATGTACAGGGAGATTATGTTGAGAAATAAAAGCATTTTTCAGATCAGTACTCTTATTTAAGTTCTATATCCATTTGTAACTTACTTATTGACTTACCTATGTAAAATGTGTCACATTTAAGAACAAATGTTCCAGTTAATCAATGGAACAAGTCTAGGTAACATAAAATGAAATATACATAACACAGACATAGAAAATAATGAATGTGATTACAAAAAATTGAATGCAAATGAAAATCATGTCAACCATTTATACTGATCTGATCATAACAAATGCATCCCATAATGGGTAAAATTTTCTTTATCCAAAGATAGGTCAAGCAGTTTTACTTGCGACATAATGCTAGTCATTTTGCCTAATTTTCTGTTAAAAATCTGAATTTCATTGTTAATACAAGAAAATTTTCCAGCTTGTGTGTATGCAGAGCAGGAACAAGTATAATGTTAGTTAGTATCTTGGTGCTGTAATGCAAAACTGTGATAAGTTTTAAACCTTTGGAGGACTCATTTTTATTAATATCATTTTAATACAACCCTGATGACGACACAATTATTACAGTTTAATCCATTAATTTCCTTGTTGTTGGCTTGTGTTATGTTCAGG